TATTTTCATATTATTGGGGAACTGCCCAAGTCGAAACGACATGTTAAAAACATGGGTTAATGGTTTGCATATCCCCTCAATTGCCCATTTAACCATTGTCATAGTGATACCATCACTATCACTGGATGATTTATTACCACATTTGTTCACTATCTCGATAATTTCCTTTTCAACTATGGGCTTCATAGTTCAGCATTTACTGCGGATAACAAAAACCTCTTCACACAGAGGGAACTACACTGTATTAGAAACTAATTTTCCAGTTCCACAGCTGAGCTTATTCACAACTGGACTGTCATTTTTCATTAAAACATGGTCTCTGTCATCTAAAAAAAAAACTTTATTATTTTTTAAAAATGTGAGATACAATAATTTGATGTGTCACTGAACTGAAGTGAGGCTCAACAATGGCAAATCAGTTGTCGGGTTTATCCATTTTGAGTGACTGTTCAGCCTTGGGTTGGCTGGTCATACACCAGCGCAGTATCAAGCGGGGGAGTGCTGGGATCGTAGCAGCCTATCGCCTGTTTAGACACCACAGGACACAAGTCCTGTTCACACCACCTGAGAAAGGACAATAAAACATATATGATGATTGAATGCAAAAACTGTGTTGCTTTTTTTTTTTACCTCAAATAATCTGTTTGTTAACTTTTTTGTTACCTGAGAGCTGCGTAGGTGTCAGATGAGGAGGCTCCTTTCCAACATGCATGGTCAATTAGCAGGGAACCTGTTAGGGTGCAGGTCATTGAGAGAATATTTGGCATTTATGGTTAAAAATGAACCAAAACAATTACTTGAATACTAAAATGGGAGCCAGTACACTTTCTGTTAGTCGACTAATTGTGGTAGCTCAAATTTTGTGTCTGTGTGGCTCCCACCAGTGTAGATGCGGGCCAGGCTGTAGGCCAGGTCTCTGGCTGCCAGCTCCAGGTAGCCAGGTGCTCTGGTAGCTGCTAGCTGAACAAACGCTTGCAGTTCAGAGAGAGCACCATCTACTGCTTTCACAGCTGGAGCCAATGAGGAAACACCTGATGCACCTGCAAGCAGGGACTACAGGGCGAGAAAACAAGTGCATCACATTCCTGCCCAGCTCTGTCACTGATTAATGACTGAACATGTTTGATGGCTTTACTCCCTGACCTCGTACCTTGGTATGGGTGAAGTATGCGTGAAGAACCATTCCTGAGCTATGAGCCACACAGCGCAGTATATCCAGAGACAGAATATTTGTCGTTCCTTCCCATATACTCAACACCTCAGAAAGAAAGAGACAAGTAAGCTTGAAAATTGTAGAAAGAGTAAAATACTAGATTTCTTGATATTAACCTCACCTGCGAATCACGAAGTATTACAGGCAACCCGGTGTCTTCAATGTAGCCCTGACCACCAAAGCTTTCCAAACCCTCCGACACCACAGCCAATGCCTGAGACAAAAGTCAGAAGACAGTAAGGGAATATACTGTAAACATTACACTTTACTATCACAACATGTAGTTGGAACAACTGGTGCACCTGCTTCCCAGTGTACAGTTTGACCATAGGTGTGAGCAGACGTAAAAGGTGTGCATCAAGCTGGGTTGCCATACCACTTTCCTCTCGGCCCAAGAGACGACACACATCCATCACCAGAAGGAACGCTCCACGAGTCTCCACCTGTCCATGTCAGAAGCAAGCATGGCTGAGGCATGATTGAAAACAGGGTGTAAACTTTGGAAAGTCTGTTCACCCTCTGCCAGCTTACCTCCATCCTAGCAAGAGTCTGCATGTGCAGTGGGTGGTCTTTAAGAAGCTTTCCAAAAGCAGTGCGACGAGTGGCATAGTCACGAGCTAACTGGAGCACCCTGTGAACACACAAAACACACACATTACTAATCAGGTTATTTATTGATTTTTTTTTAACAATTAGTGCTGTGGTATGATAAGTATCCTGCCTTCTCATTGAAGCTACTGCACAGACGGCATTGTGGATCCTCGTTATAGTCAACATGTTCGCTATGGCGGCAACACCTCTCCCTTCCTCTGATAGCTGAAATGATAAAGAAGGAATGAATATGTCAAGTATTTTTAAATACTCACTTGATGTCAATCGTTGAATATGCTACTGAGGTATACAGTATATGAATACTCTCCCACAGTGAATACTTTAGGGTTCAGTATGTAGAGTATTTCATGTACAGAACCGTATATGCACCCCAACCATCACATCATGGAGTGTATGATCACCGTTTCAATTACGCAACATGTCAAATACAAACCACACATGATAAATATTTCTTTCATGTACTAAAAGACAAAAACTGTACTTTAGTTACTTTTGTTTTTGCACTCTGTTTTGATTTAGTTTGATTTGTATGTACTTTACTGCTCCTGAGCCCAAAGTTGGAAAAACAGTCACTTAACAATACGTCATGCAGGACAGTTCAAGGCTGCAATAATTTTATATTCCATACAAATATAGTATAAATATAATTGATGTAAAGTATTTAGAATTTTAATTAATGAAGTGTTCAATGTGCAATCATGTAATCATGCTGCAGGTTTAACAAAAAAAGTTGCCAATAAATTCATTATTTAATAACCTGCTAAAAATGACTTATTACATCCATCCATCCATTTCTAAACCGCATAGTCCCAAATGGGGTCACGGGGGGCTGGAGCCAATCCCAGCCAGCTGCGGGCGAAAGGGACTTATTACATTATGTGCATAAACCTATGTTCGGCACTCACAATTTTTATTACTTATTAAAATATCAGCTTTTGTTACATTTTTTAAAATTACCTTATGCACAGTTATTACACTTCGTTGACACTGACAATGGGTCTATATTCCATATACATTCATTCTGGAGCCAGTTATTACTGCTGCGTTACCCAACTGCTGCAACTGTCTCCAACTATAACCATATATGATGTAGTTTCAGAGACAGGGCTGGAGGGGAGAACAGGAGGTTTGTTTTGACTCTCACTTCGCCCTTAACAGTTGAAAATTAGAGGGAGATATTAGTTGATGCAGCTTTAATAATCTAAAAGATGACCAAAAAAAAATCTAGGTTTGTCAGTCTTGGTCTAGTTTAACCATCTATTGGTCAATAGCTCTTTTTTTTAAGGTTAAGCTTATTCCCACACTGCAAAGCTTTAGTATAAACAAGGTGAGGTGTTAGGGTTAGCTGTACCTGACACAGTGTAGCTGTAACTGTAACCCAGGCACTTGTATTTCCACAGAACAGAGAAGAAAGCTACAGTTTATCATTATCATAAAAAATGATTAGGTATAACTGACCCTGTGTGCTGACAGGCCATCCAGGAGTAACTCAGCAGTCGGCACCGGTCTTGTGCCCAGTTTGTCCTTCAGTCTCTGAACCTCTATACCCTTCAGTCGGCCATCTTTGTCTCGATTCACCTCTGCATAGAACAGAGACAAACCCTTGCTACCCTGTGGGACAGAGATGAGCACACACAAAGTGCAATAAAATGACTCTGCAAGTCACTGAAGAAAGGTAACAACTTATGGTACAGAAGCACAGGTGAGTAAGGAGAGAATTGTACTGGTGTGGTTGCACCCGTTCTGTCCTGCACTCTGGCCAGTGTGAGAGTCATGTCTGCATCTGTAGCAGAGGTGAACCACTTGAAGCCGTGTAGTTTGTATGAACCATCTGTTTGAGGAACAGCCACTGTCTCTGTACCAGAGGCTGAGGACATGACAAACAATTAGAAGCAACTCATGAACTATTACAATAGTTATTCTGGCTCTGTATAACAAAGCCAAACAGGAATTTTCTCTATAGACAACATGCAACAATGATAACTATCACTGGGCATATGTCAACTATATATACACATTTTACTACAGTTTTTTAATGAAAACTAAACCACTGTCATGTGCTAGGAGCCCTTTCAAATATAGAAAGCAGTCACCACTGTACTGGACCTGATACTAGTTCATGGACAAATGTGTGTCACTACTAACCAACATCAGATCCTCCCTGTCTTTCTGTCATCCACTGTCCAGATGTCCAGAAACGTTCAGGCTGACGGGTGGTCAAACGACTGAAGGCTTCATCTACTGGCCATGAAACACCTATGGACTTCACACACACAGCCAGACCATCACTCACTATGTTTATCGGCTCAAAAAAGGTTTTTGCAAGAAACAAATACATTTACATGCATTGCAACAGTATGATTATGCTAAAATATTTTTGTTTTAGTCTAAATGTGGTTTGAATATTTGATAAGCTACTAAGAATGAACTTTCCCTTCATCCTGCTGCACTGTTGCATTGTTACCATCTCTGTCATGCACATTTTGCTCTTACTAGAAACACGAACAGTCTATTTGTTTACTTCACTTTTAAGAAATGTGGGTGACTGCAGACAAGTAAATATTTACTTAAGTGCATATAAATGCAGCTACTCTCAAAGTAAAATGATTTAATGAATAAAGTTTTGTTTGCTGTCAAAATAATGATGGTTTTGGCTTATGATACAGTTAGTCATATAAAGTGTTTTTCCTTACACACCTGGATGACTTTTGCAGCTCCATCAGTCATGGCCAGAGGACAGGTGGATAAACCAGATGAGGGACTGAAGATGTACACCTTGCTCATTTGGTACACACGACTGGAACACACACATGCACATTAGAATCTAACAACAAAATTTACTGAACTGAAATATGAGAAATGAGCTAAGCAGAAAAAGTAACTGCAACAGTCTTCTAACCTCCACTCCCCAAATGGCCTCTCATAGCCAATGGCAACCATTCCTTCCTGTGCTACCAGTTGTTTCATGCGCTTCCAGGCTGGGGAGGTGACAATGTGGTCCACTCTGTGACCCCAGGGGTCAAATTGCACCAACTGTGGAGGAGTAACCTCACACTCTCTGCCCCACCTGTCCACCTCTTTCACCACACGCTCTCCAAATGCACATAGGTCTGAAAGAACTTCCTGTTAAGTATATACACATACATTCACATAGATTAGAAACCAGAACACAGAAATAACAATAGAATGAACCCTCATACAAAAATCTGATTGTTACCGATTGTTGGTTTGATTTAGAAAATCAGCTACTTGATGTTTCAGCAGCAAAACTAAGGACAATTGGGCATCAGACATGTCATTGAGGTTCTAATTAATTAAAATAATATATTTGCAGTTTTGTCCAATAACCTTTTGACTATGCTTTGCATGAGTTAAACTGTTTAGGCATAACAAAGCAAGGGCTTGTTAATACAGTCTCATAATAATTGCAATATGCATCTTATGCCTACATTATCAATTAAAACAATCTCATGTACTTTGCCTCTAAAGCAACTAATGTGACACTTTTTCACAAGTATTAAGGAGCCAAATAATTTCTGCATTGTATATTTTTAACACAGTTCTCTCTACTCACCGCCTGGGGCAGGTGTCTCCTTAGGTATCCGTTGAGCAAGGCATCCTCTAGAAATGGGTTCTTCAGCACTGGGATTTCCTGAAAGAAAGATCCTATCCTGGCTCTGGAGTACGGCAAGTAGCTTGCTGCCTCCCAGAGCTGCCCCTCCTCAGATCTTCTTGTGCCCGGCTCAGTTACGCTGGCTGATCTGATGTGGAGGAGCGGTCGAGGAACAGCACACCACACCCGGCAGCAGCCTGCAGCTACACGGTGGCTCAGGAGGGCAGAGTACAATGACATGACTGACACTGACAAGATCTGCAGACTGATGTGAGAAAAGAGAATCAACACAGTGGAGTGGGTTAAAGGATTGGTATCATGCATTCAGTCATTTACAGAATTAGCTGTCTAAAGTTCTGCCTTTATGTTTACTTATAAATTATGTTACTTAAAAACTGATTATATTGTAATATTTTTTCTCTCTGGGTGCTCCGGCTTCCTCCCACAGTCCAAAGACATACAGCTTAGGTTGAATGGCAACTCTACAAAACTGGCCATTGGAAGGGCATTCGGCGTAAATAAAAAATTATAAAAACATGCCAAGTTTAACGCGCGCATCGTCAGTTCGGTAGGAACTGATGATTCGCTGTGGCGACCCCTAACGGGGACAGCCGAAAGTAGAGGACTGTAATCTTTTTTTCAATAGAATTGACATCTCTGATACAGAAGTCAATGAATGAAGAGATGAATGTGGACTCATGGCCACACATCTTACAAAGCCACTGTCAAGCAGAATAACTACTTTGCTTGCCCATTAACTAAATCTCGTAATAGCTCCTACAAAGCTGAATGTTACCCTGTGAACTATCATAAAGCCATATTATGATTTTTTCCCACCAGATTACTGTTACTCACAATTTAAGTAAATTAGCTAATATCTGCATGTTTTATTTTCTTGAAAAAATTCGTTCATTCTAGCTAATTATGTCCTTAACGGTGAGCGAACTACACAAAAATCAGCAAACCAATAATTAATGTTACAAGTAAGAGTTATCTATCGTGTTAAGAAAAATGTTTTTAAAAACGGCAAACTGAAACCAACAATGTTTGCTAACATTCACACAGCATCATAAAAGTGGGGCAAAGTTCATTCTACTTCAGCACACTGCGTATTTGCAACCCGAAGTGACTAGCTTGTTAGCTACAAGCTAGCTAACCTACAGGTAACTACGAAGCTTTTCTCTGTCCGTTTCATCGGCAGTTATCATCAACAAGGCGACATTTATAACTACCTGAATTATCTTCACGTCAGACTTACAAACTTAAAATGCCAACAACCTTCGGTCCAGCACAGCAGTGTTTACATTCACCACAACTGCAACATTTCGCCTGCAAAAGAAAAGCCCTACCCCC